TAATAATCCTTTACAGGAAATTACAGTGCCACAACAGCTTCAAGACAGACATAACACCACACATTTCATAACATAGCTTCCATACTTAATAAGTTAAAATACAATAAAAAATACTAAAAAAAAAAAGTGCAAAGTTATTTTTGTGCATTATAAAACCTTATAGCAGCTGGTATACAAGACTTTCTGTATCTCTTAGTTTTGCACATTGGTGCGATCAGTCTCTGACTGAAGGTGCTGCTCTTGATCACCTTCAGGGCGTGGAGCGGGTGAGTGGGGTTGGTCATTATTGGATCCAGTTTGTTCAGAGTTCTGGCCTCTGCCACCTGCTGATGGGCATTATAGCAGTTTTTCCAACACTGAACAGGTCACTATATCATGTGTTTTATTTTTGTGATGATATTTTTGTGATTTTTTTTCCAGTTTGTATCACTGTACAGGTTGTCTTGGTCCACACATTTATACTAATCAGATGTGTTTCTCAGAGTCACAGTGTTCTTTAGGGGGTCCCACTCTCCAAGGCTGAAGACTGGAGCCTCATTTGACTCCTTGCACAATTCTTAGATATAGTAGAGGTAATGTATGCCCTGTCAGCCAAGGAACAAAAGCAAATGTTTCAACATCAAAATGAGTAGCCCAAACCTGTCTGCTTCATCATCGAGAAGGATGGATACTTTTAAAGCTTTGTTTTCTCAAATCTTTTTTGAATCTATTTTTGAATGAATTAATGCATCATATAAAACCTATTTAGCACAGTTTGTTGAAAATCGTATCAATATTTCAGTACTGACCAGTCAGGAACTAATACAAAATTGGTACCGGTTCTCAATACCACTCTGTGCCTACTTGTTAGAAAGAGTGAGTACAAATCTATGTCCAGTGTAGGCCACATTAAGGTCCAAATCTGACAAATACATTTGACCAGATACAGTTGTTTGTTCTCTTTACAGATGATGCAGGCCACCTCTTAAACGCTCAGAGATACTTTAAAAACTTTATCATAGAAAACCAGCACTCTGAAGCAATCTTCTTCAAAAAGTGTGTGCCACATAAAAACTTCCCAACTTGACCATTACTTCTTTAAGGTGGATGTTATTTAATAAGTTAACATTGGGTGCTCTTTTAACATTAAAAAGCAGTTGATTGGTTGGATTCATATCCCCAAAAAGAGAGGAATGTGTGAAAGCTGTCCAAGAAAGGTATGTCAAACAACAGAATGGGTATGCCACAAGGGTCAATTCTTGGTCCTTTGTTTTTATTATGTTTATTTATGACTTGCCGGCTGGCTTCCAGCATTACGCAGGCACATTGTCAGCATGAAGGATAAAGGTAAATACATTTTCAAATACAGTAAATACAAACTTACATTTTCTTAGACACTAAACAAACTCAGGCAGCCCAAGCTAACATACATTCTATCAGTTTCTTTAATTTCTTGTGACAGTGTGGGCTCAAGCCTCTGCAACAAAAAACTTACATCAGTATAGAACCAGGCTTAAAATAATGGACAAATTATCTACCAAAAACACAAGATTTCGAACAGTTACCTATTAAGTTTTGAGCACTTAATACATTTATTTTTTATCAAATGAGGGTCAAATGTATCCACAATCTAACCCTTCAAACCCCATGTTCCTTCTGCAAGAACTTCATCTCTGTGCAAAACATCAGTTTCTTGCTCTGTGTTGGAACCGTGTTAAGTTGCACCATTGCTATCAAATAAATAAATTCAATTAATCAAAGCGCAAGGCCAGTTGTTTCTGGTGGCCTTAGCCTTTATGCTAAGCTTGTGATGACTGGCTGTAGCTATTTTTTTTTTTTTTTAAAGATGGATAAAAAAAAGTAGTGTTGACGTTTATTCTTACAACAGAAAAATTATCCATATGTTATAACTTTCTACTTAAATGTGTTGTATTATACATACAAGGCTTTGCTGCTCTGGACACCTTTGCCATTATGTGTGAATAAGTATTAAGCAATCTCTCTGCCTTTATATAAAGGTTCATCACCAGCATTTATGTGTTTACTTTGTATGATGTACCTTCCTCCCCTCTAACCTGTGCTTATAGTGCCATAAGTACTATAAAGTAGGCTCTATGTCTATAGAGCTCAGTTCAGTCTCATTTCAGTCCTCAGCTAATGCCTGCACATTTTGTGATACTTGGGTCTTCTTTTAGGTGGTCTAATCTAACACCTGAAACACTATGAACTGGTCCTAGTGGCCCTCTTAGTGGGGAGAATCTGGTCGCATTCACCCCACGAAGGTCGCATCTGGCTCAGCTTGCCATCATTCTCATCTTGAGGGTGCTGTGGCCTTTGAGAAAGTCTAGTGGGTTTAGCTAAAGGATACTGATGAGAAACCATGCAGCCTGGTGGTTGCCACAGCTGAGTCTCAATTCGGGGACTGCATCCTTCCAAGGGCACATTTGAAGACTGACTGCTTTGTCGAGGGCTCTTTCAAAGTTTGGCCAATAAATGACTCCTTTTCACGGGCTGCATCTGGTCTCTCTTTTGTGGCCAAACATATCACAAGATTCATTGCTCAACAATTCAAACAAAATGCCAGACTTTCAAGTGGCCGAAGAGTACACTTATAAATGTTAGTAATTTGTTTCAACTGTGTCAAAGAGCTATCAGTACAATATTTTGAAAACGGAAAGGGCCTTGAAAATCTTCAAATTATTTTTAAAATAATAGGTTATGTTATGTGACATCATTCTACATTTGATAGTTTTGGTGCAGCAATCGAGGTGGGTAGGCAACAGGAGTGTGGCTTAGTAACAATAGGGGTAAGGGCGGGAACGGCTTGTGATACAAACAGGAAATCCTCTGTAGACAAGAACGTCTCACTTCAGTTTGGCCTGAGTCTACACAGGCTACAAAGGCTGGATACTTCATGACTGGGTCCATTGAAGGATGCTAGCCTGGAATTTGAACATCGCAAAAGTCAGCTATCACACTTTCCCATCTAACCAGACTCTGGGCTCTTCAGCTAAACTCTGTCACCTGCCCTTCCCTCCTTGTGGCCCTTTATGTGTCTTTTCAACAAGCAGGGAGAAATGTGTACCTGTCTACAGTAACACAGGTTAGAAGCAATGTAGCCTGTGGTGGACTTACTTCTTAAACTTGTTGTTTACGATAACTTTAAATGAATTTGGCATGCAAAATTAGAACAAACAGAAATGCGTCCGTTAAAGTTGAGGTTTTAAACTAATAGCTTGTTTTTTCTTCAAAAAATATGTAGCCTAATGCTTTCCTTCTGAAGAAATGTTGAGCTGAACATGTATGGATGTTTTTAAGTGTGATAATTTGTGAAATAAATTATGCAACATACAGTTTTGATGAGTTGTTACATCAAAATATGTTTTTATCTGAATGGCCACAGAAGATAGGTAAAACAGAATTGTATATCCTGAGTTAAAAGTGTGGGAGAAAAATGTGTGGAATTTGCTTTTCAACGTGTTCCTTTTTTCATCCCTGTGCACTGAATTTTAATTAAAAATGTTTTACTAATAAACAAATTATTTGTCATCATCATTTAGTTTGTGTTTTCCCATACAACTGCTCTTACAAAATCTGTTTTCAGCACAGGCATAAATCTGACACATCTTGGTATGCAGGCAAATACAGATTCAAATGGTTGCTGCTTTCTCCTACTTTAATGGCACCATTTCTCCACCTGGTGGCACTAAAGGCATTTCACATGACTTCAAATATTTCTAAACAATGCTTGTCATATGACATTAGTTGTCATTTTTGCTTTTAGACTATAATGCAAGCCTCAATGCAATTTAGTCAGTAATAGAAATGTGTGGAAAAAAAATAGAGTTCATATTCCCTTTTTCTGACTGCATGTGTATTGGCTCATCTGAAAATGTGATAATAAAACAATAAGATATTGTTTTATTACTAAGTCATAGTCTTCTGTATTGAATGAAGGATTTATTTATCGTTGACTTAATTGACAAACCTTTTATAACAGACAAAACTATGTTTCTAAGCTGAGATTTTACAACAAAAAGGGAATGGTATGGACTTGAGTTTGTATAGCGCTTTTCTGACTACTCAAAGGGCTTTTACATTATTTTCATAATTGTAAATTGCATTAGTTTTGTTTTAAGCTCTGAGCTGATCCCTTATTTAGCCAACATTTATGCCGTTTTTAATAGGCCTATACCATCCCATGCCAAAACTTATTTTTTGATCATCAAGTCGTTTCCATGGATGAAACTGAACTCTTGACTGTTTGTCTGCGTCTTTTTCCCACTTGTTGCCTCAACACACACACACACACACACACACACACTCCCTTTTATTTCTCATAGCATTAGGCCAGTTTTGGAACAAATTGTGTCAAATGAACTTCTCCTACGCAGCATACAGCATCAAGAACACATTTGTGACAAAACAAATGATAGGAATACATGAAGTGAACTCTGGTGTAGCCTTCTGGCGTGTAGGCTCCGCACGGCCGGTCTCTACGTTTTCTTTGTTTTAAGAAAAACAGGGAGGTGCTGTAGGTGCACCTGCGCGCCGTGTGTTCGTTAAACTGTCAATGGGCAGCTGTTTCAAAATAAAAGCATGATAACTATTAGTTTTAAGCATAGACTGTAAATATGGTTTTAAGATACACTTAGGATAGAAAAAATATGTGAAGTAGCCTATTGAAAAGAGTATTGCTCATGCATCATCTTGAAAAGCCTAATATTCTTAACTCGCTTGGCTCGCCTACACGATTGCACTTTTTGCTTTTTATTGCCAAAGTCAAAACTTCAAAATACTGCAGGTAATTCATAGAATCTTTGGATAGTTTGTGAGAAAGCAGCCTACAATTTTCAAACTCTTCTCAGATTTACTGGCACACCTTTGATGAGCCAAATATAGGCTACATAAATCATGTGTCTGTCAAAACTGATCAACTTTCACAGACAATAAACTAAACTAGGGGACTTTACTTTGAAACTTTGAGCAGAGGCGTGACCGACTCGCCCGTGTTGGGTCACAACGTGCTTATTTGGGGGAGAAAAAAAAAAAAGATAACACGCTGCTCAGTTATTACCTTATGTCTCGCTGTCAAATTGACCGGATGGTGACCAAACAGAGATGGCCAATAAGGGTATGTCTATGAAGTTTATTTCAACGTGCGTGTATTGCAGGCATTTGTTTGTTCAGAATTTTGGCATTGTTAGTCTGGGTGTGTCAGACACTCCACCTTGTAGATGATACTATCTGGAGAGATACACATGATTTCCTAACAGACACAGCTGTATTAAAGTGATAATGAGTGGTATTCAACATTGATTCGTGTTTGAAATAAAACTAAATAGTGATAAAAAATGCTCATCTTTTGAGCACACATCATTTTGTTCTCATTATCTCTGAGGATGAACAGTGTGAATGCAATGTGAAATTAAATGAGTCGCCTCTATAGGTGGGTTGTCTCCTCTAAGTAATAAGATGAATGTGTAAGTAATAATTCCCAAAGCTGTGAAACTGTCTTGGTTGGATATGTGGATATGTGTCTTGGTTGGATATGGATATTTATGTGTATAATAAGATCAGACCATATATTTCCTTCTCTGTTTCTGAAACGTACCTACATGCAATTGTGTTTTCATCAATTTCCTACTGTCTTCCAATCTGGTCACTTACCACTAAGGAGATTACTGAACCAATAGCACGACTCTTAAGGTCCACAGTAACCTCCCAAAGTGGTCACACCATTGCTCTGCATTCACACGCCTTGACTTTCCAGAATGAAAAGTCAAGGCGTATGTATTTCTTTTACACATACACCAAAATTTGGAATGACATTCCCCATCACATTAGAACTTTGCCATCTACCTCATATTTCAAAAATACATACAAACGACTACTGTTCGCAGTATCTGTGCTGTTTGTTTCTATTTGTCTGTATTAGCCCATGCTAATGTCCTGTAAATGTGTTTGTCTTGATGTGTCATGACTGTGGTTTATGTTTCATACAGGAACCTGCTGGAAACCAGTTTTTAAACTGAGTCAGGCCCGTTAAACTGTAACTTAATGTTACTTTTAAACCTTCCTGTATAATAAATGAAATGACATGAAATGAATATGTCAAATGTTAAGTAACCTAGTGATGAACATAGAAGTGCTATATTTAACCAAGCCTTTTTTTTTTCCTTTTATTCACACTTTTTCATGAATAACAAAGTGTCCTATTTTCATTCACTGATAAAAAGCAGCGTTTTTGGGGGTTAAATAAAAATGTTAATTGTATTGGTTCAATATTTGTTTTTGTTTTTTTAACAGCAGTTGTTGATTTGTCAGACTTGCCCTCTTTGCTCAGGTCTTAATGTTATTTAAAAATTGATTTAAAAGTAGTTTTATATTTTTTTTGGGTTCAGCAGTGAACTCTTTGGGCCAGCTCCATCCTGATCAGCCTGCACTGTAGTTATGTGTTTTGCAGCTAATGATTAATAAAAGTGACATCTCACTGTGGTTTTGACCTGCGTCTGGTATCTCTGATCAATATGTTGGGGCTCATGACCGGGATGAAGGCCACCAGCCAAAAGGCGTTGGTCTAATATAGTTAGTAAAGATGATCTCCATACTATACAAGTGTCCCTTGAGCTTTTTGGCCTCTTCAAGCCCTTTTGATAGTTGGTGATGTTGTGCCAGAAATCCCTGCTCTGTTTCTCTTTATCAATACAACATGGACCAAACTGATGATGTAGCATTATGTGAAATCACTGCAACACCTTGCTTCTGATGGGGATTTTTAAAACTCTCTGCCTGGAGCATAAAGTTGTTTTTCTATATTTCCCCCTCCTCAGGAGTGTGCTGTGCCAACCTGGAGGATTCGAACGCCTTGATGAAGATGGGTCTAAGCATGGTCCTCATTGGTCATGTTAACTTCCTGTTGGGAGCGCTGGTGCACGGTGTGGTGCTCAGACCCATCACCCTCCATAAGCAGGCCCGAGCCATGGAGTATGCGATCTCCAATGTGATCGCTCTCACCTCCGGGCTTGTGGTGAGTGCATACAATACTTGATTCATACAGCATTTCTGCAATTTCAAATAGTGCTTTTAGTGGAGTATAAGAGAGGCTGATAATGGACAACAAATTGGGAAAACTACAAACAAACTAATTCTCTGTGATGTCAGGTAACATTATTTTCCATCAGTGTAGTGGTTATGACCACAAGTACAAACTGCAAATGCATCTATACCTTTTCAAAATGTGACTTGAAAGATTTTTCTCAAAGGGCTCTAGAAACTGTCAAGCTTCACTATTTGAACGAACCACCATACTTTGGTCAAGTAGTAACAATTTATACCCTTTCTTTTTGTATATAATGTTCACTGTTAAGAACTCTCCAATTGTAAAGCCTCATCACCCCACCCATGCAGATTTGACATTGAGGTGGATAGCATAATTGGCATTGGTGGCATTAGCATATTTGGAATTACCTGAATGTCTTTCCATTAAGCGAACTCAGTATTTATCTTTTCTACAATGACATCATCGGCCTCATGCGTGATAATTGGTGACTGTGTCACAGTCTCACAGAAGCACCTGTGGGCTCTCATACATGTCCAAGGTGTGAGACTAAACAGTAGTTAGCAGTTTAATTTCAGACAGCAGAAAGCTTCTCTGAGCTTAAGCTAAAACCTGAGACATTTAGTTTTTTTCTTGTAGCGCTGTTAAGTTTAAGAGCCACTCTGTGATCACGTTTTGTTAAGATGTGCTAAAACAGCTTCGAATACAGACATTGTACTGAAGGAAATACTTGAAATGCTTGTAGTGACAGCACAACTGTGATGTTAAGAGAAATGACCTTTTGACCTTTCTTTGTTCTCATCTCCTATGCAACATTGTAAATGCTTCCAACTCAATGGGTTCTCCGAGGTTATAATTAAACACATAAATGATGATTATGACAATGATGAGGAGGGGTTTTTTTTATGCTGTATTTATGTGATATCTAGCATAGAAGCATTGACATATTGGTTGCAAATAAGCAATATGAATAATCTGTTTTGTCTCAACAGGGAATTGTTGTTGGCATTTTGGCTATTGTCCTGTCTAAAAACAAGAGGAGTAGAGGCCTGGTTAGTATCATGTATATTTTCCTATGATTGATTTTTTTAATGTCCTCATGAAATAAAAACACCCAAACTGACAGATTCAAGAGAGGGCCCTACCGATAGGGGATTTTCTTCTTTGATATATCTACCTGAACTTCACTCACAAACTCTTTCTCTTTTATATTTCACAGCTCTTTCTTCATTATCAGTATTTCTTTCTGTCTTCCCACACAGGAGGGCATTAAAAAACTCTTTAAGCTTGTGCATGTTTCCCCAGGTGTCTGAATGCAGCCCTCAAGATTTAGCTTAGTTTCATTTTTTTGTTTTATATCTCTCTCTCTCTCCAGTCGTGCAGCACGACTTCCACTCCCTGTTTACTCAGTCAGCTGTCGGGCCGCTCAGACTAGACTGACGAGAACATGAGTGAACAGCATGAGTAAGCCCAGGCAAAGTCTCTGGGCTATACCACTCCCATCCTCCTTTGTTAGTGAGAGCAGCTGCGACAGGAAGCGTTTTCTTTATTTTTCATCCATATGTTTAGCTTTTCAGTCCTGCAGACATCAAATAGGATAAATAATATATAATCCCAACAATCATTTTAACACAGCTTCTTATTTTATTGACAAATAGAGAATGTATGTACCAGCCTAGCCTTCTTTAAACTCATATACAGACATGTTTGTTTGTTTTTCCTGCTTAGATTGGAAAAACAAGTGAATTAATCATTTATGTTGAGACATTTTTGTCTTGAGTTGTTAACTATTTCCCAGTGCAGTCTTTTACAGAAGGGCGAACCCCTCCCCATCTTTACTTCATAAAGACTCAGCCTCACTGGGATGCAGTTTATATACCGCATCATGTCACTCCCCTGTCGGCAGCTAATCGTAAAAATAGTGAGATGTCACAAGTGTTTTCTTTTAGCATTTCACAACTTTTTCATTCTTTTGTCAACACTAGACTTCTGCTATTGTGAAATTCAAAATGTGCATTTATTAATCCAAAAACAAAGACATTTTTAAGTGTCAACATTTGATATGCTGTTTCTGTGCTATCTTTGGGGTATGTATTATGAAAATCATCTCATTTTGTTTTTATTAAAATACATTTTATTTTGAAAATATTTAACAGAATTGAAGCTAAACACACTCCCAAAAAGTATGAAAACGCACCAGGAATGTCCTTATCAATAACAAATGCAAAAACCATTCTCCATCATTTGTGTGTGACTAACTGAACTAAACACTGAGCTTTAAAGCAACATTCACCCCTTGAGCAAGATGTAAAAAAAAAGCTATGGTTTCATATTTTTTTTAAATTCTTGATGGTTTTACAGGAGGCAAAAATCTGTTCGTTGGGGACTGTTTTCAGCAGTAGGTTAATGTACATTTAATGCTGCAGTGAATGGTTACAGCAGTAGGATGGTGTATATAGGATTGAGTAAAAACTGAAAACTGCAGCGTGTATTAGTGAAGGAACATGTCAGCAAGTACAATAGTGTAGTTGACTGATGTGCTTTAATTGTTTTTGGACAACAATAGAGCTTTACAGCAGAGCAATAATAATAATAATAATAATAACTTTATTTATATAGCACCTTTTAAAAACACAGGTTTACAAAGTGCTTTGACAAACAGCAAGAACAAAGCAAACTAAACACAGAAAAACATTAACAACAGTAAGAATATAACAGATGCAAAATACCAAAAATAATTAAAAACAATTCAACAGAAAAGAACCCAAAGTGCACGATACACAACCAGACATATATAACCCAACCATCATAAGAACCATCATAAGAACCCAGGAACACAAGAACCCAACAACATGAGCTGAGACCAAGAACAATAACACACATCAGGCTCCAGACACAGACTACAGTTACTAATAGATCAATAGGGCTGCATTCAGAGAGTATTTTCATGATCTGTTAATTAACAGATTATTATTTCAGATTAATTGAGGCCTTTTATTTATGAAAAAAAACAACAGTTGTAAACGATCTTTACAATAGATTTAAAGTCGTGAAACATGGCATCTTCCAAATGTTCCTTTTGTCCAATCAGATGATTTTCTGCACTTCAATAAACTGCAAAACTGACATTTCTTTATTTTTCTTTTGTTCATCTAATGAACTCATCATTTTAGCTCTCAGGGCCATTTTATTTGTGGACATAGTCTTTTCATTTGAGTTGATGACAATAGGACAAGATGTATAATATTGTCAACCTGATCCTTTAAACAAACTGTAACCTGGAAGTGTGCCTACGTAGTGATCTTTAGTTCAAATCTGACTTTTTACTAAAAATGTGACAACATCAGGATCATTTTTTCCCCTGGCGCAGAGGAAATTATAATACTGTTTTGCTAGACTGAGTGTTTCTCCTGATAAGTTAACAGATTGATTACCTGTGTACTGCCCCTTTAAGAATCTATTTGACTGTGATGAAGTACGATGCTGTGAAGGATTCAGGGTCCCTCATATCTGGATTTAAAAGCAGTGAAATAATGAAAATCAATACCATGTCAAAGAAATACTTTTTAATATACTGATCACTTTTATCATTTATATTGATTTATATTTTGCATATTTCCTGTTTAACATCTTTTTTTCCACTACTTCTCATGTTAATGCCTTTTTTGTACTGCTAAACGTATTTGTTGCTGTCACGCCTCTATTCACCGATGCAGATGCTACAGTTTCAACACCAGGAGAATTGATGCAGTCATCACTATTTTTAAAATCTGATTGTTTTGCTCTTCTTTCCCTTTTTGTTCCTTCAACAGACGTGGTCACTTTTTACAGTCAGTCTGACTGCAGCTCTCATGGCGGCAGCTTCGTCCATTGGACTCACGATTTCTGTGGTGACAGCCATCATTCACGGTGGACGAAGCCTCCTGTCTCACTGCCGCTTCCCTGATGCCATTGGCTACTCGAGCATCACCAACGAGTGTCCTTTTGACCCCACACGCCTCTATGTGAGTGTTTCGGTGTGAGAGACAGACACAGATCAAGGCTTGATCTTTTCTGCAGCAGCTGGCTCTTTTTACAGTAGACTATTATCACTGGGAGGGGAGGGGGAGGGGGTCGGGGGGCGTTGTGTCTCCACATCATAGTTGCTCTCTCCACTTTGTGTTAAAGTATGTCTGGACACAAGGTGTGAGGGAAATGTGACGCTAGGTGGTGGTCTTTTCTGTCACTCAGCCACGCTCTGCAGCCGGTCGGTTGGTGGCAGAAGTGCTGACCTGACCCTGTCCATCTTCTTCACGCTCTTTCCTGTTCTAGTGTGTTACAGATGGACTGTCAGACCTGCTCAGCCTCACAGCTGCAGGCACAAAGTAGCGCGACTTTGGCATTTTCGCAAAGCTAGACTCTAAAGTCTGTCAGTAAAGTTCATTTTTTTTCTTAAAATATACTCACACATGACGTCAAAGCTGTAGATGCATACAGAGTAGATTTAGAGATAAAGATCAATGTCAGGCGCACAGACATGTACTCACTAGGAAAAAGGACATTTTTTTTATTTTTGGAGTTTAAAGTAGTTATGAAACGGACAGAAATGAAATGTGTTCTCTTGACCTCTAAAAGCAAACCAGACCATCAGGATAAAAAGTGTTTATTCTATTTAGTTATTATGTTTTTGCTACCTGTTTTTAACTATCATTGCCCCTTACAAAATGTAATGTTAGAGAAAACACCCTCAACTCCCTTTCAACGTAAAACAACTGGCTGCTGAAACCCCGAAAAAAGTTCAAACAAGAAGGACAGCACTCCAAAATTGCAATTTTTGCCGGTTATACACTAAAGAAGAGTGTCTGCTCGAAGCGTCCGTTTGGCAATTTTGGAGTGCTGTCCTTTTTCTTGCCCTTACATAATGTACAAGGAGTTCATTACTACATTCTAGGAATGTCAACGACTTGTTCAGTTTCCATAACTACATACGTTGTTACTATATCATGCATGGCTTAAATGTGACTTAATCACAATCTGCACCTGTTGTGTGCTGCAATTCACCTCACTTACATTAAATATCATGTGACTTAGTGCTGGTGAGAAACATTCGTAAGATGGGAAAAAGGGATTTAGGCAGCTCATTCAAATTGAGCACTTTTATTACAACAGGAAGTGTGTATTTAAGCCTTTCAAAATAATGTATGTAAAGTCAAATTATTTCTCTATATAGATTTATCTTTATTTTATGATATATGCTGAATGTTCTCTATTCAAAAACATCCAAAACATCAAACTGAAACATTGACCTGTTGAGTTTTAATCCTTGATCCTCTTTATTGTGCACCTATATTGAGGTTACAGCCATGTAATTGTATGTTTTAAGGTTAATCTTAAAAGGTTATGCTAACAAACTCAAATAAATAGAAGTCCTTAACACTCCTGTGAGGAGTTTTTATCCAGTTATCAAAATAGCAGAATTTAATTACTAATGCCTCTAAATAACCTACAAAAGTTAAAATGTCTATCAGAGAGAGAATGTTTTATTTCAATTTAGATATATTTGATATACCTGTCATACCTGTCATGCCTGTCGTGTTGGGTAGGTGTGAGACACAGCACGCTGCTGAAACAGCCTTTTCTAAAGTTTTTCCATACCATGGATTCATTGAGTTACCCACCAGACTTGGGGAAAAAAAAGAGGGATGAGATTTCTTGTCAAAAAAAAAAAACAACACTACTTACAAATGTGCAGGACAATATCGGCCAAGAGATACATTTCCACTCTTTGTCCACAGGGGTCGCCAAAAGAGACACAATCACAAAGTTCTTCACAGGTGCTTTAATAAGAAACTTAGTTTAGCTCAGAATCAGTACAGTTATATAACTGTGTTCTGGTCCACTGAGACAGCAGACCATGCTGTTCACTGAGAGTTGCCTATTAGCAAGGGACCTCCAATATGGCTGCCAGAGGGTGAATTGCATCCCTTGAAAGAATGACGTGGACTTCTTGCTCAGAAATTCGTAGTTGCCCAAAGGCAATAATGATACCTGTGCAAGGTATATCATTTTTTTTGTCCTTGTTGCAGATTTCATCACGGATTCCAAAGAAAGCTCCAAACCTTAAACTACAAACTTTTATTCTCTTTATAGTGTGCCTAACAAAAAGCAGCTGGTTTTCTTTGAAGTCCCTCTGTGCATCCTTCCTTTGATACAGTCTGCCCTGCATGTTTTATTCACAATGCTGACTCTCCTGTGCTGACTGAAATCCCCAAACCCACAGCTTTGTTTCGCAGCACTCCACACAGGTTCTGCATTGCATCATTACCCAAACTGTGGTCCTGTTTACGTATAGCTGCATTATCCTCAAATTGTGTTCTTTTCAGATCCAAGTGGTGACAGCCTCTAACACCAGTCTTCCATTTCTCCCCAGAGTACCACTTTGATCCTTTGGGTGCCTCTGATCGTGACTTGTGTCATCCAGACGGTGTTTTCTTCCCGGACCTTCGCTGCCTGCATTTCATTTCTTAATCTGCCTTGCTGTCTTAAGAGAAAAAAAACTAGGGACTATGGCACAGCGGTAAGACTTCAAATAAAAAAATTCACTGTGCTGCCTGATTTACAGAAGAATTGCATGACTTCTGTGCTGCATAAACCTGTGCAGATGAGTCAAAAAGACACTGTTAAAGTCACAGAACACATGCAGAAGGGTTAAATGCTCCCCTAATTGGGTTGCAATCCAAACAGTGTGTCTGTGCTCCAGTGCTGTTTCGACTTATTTAAAGAAGCCATAATGCAGTCATTTTGGGAGAAATGGCCCTTTCTATGCAGATTGGCCTCATTACATCTAGCACCCATATTCACAAACGCCAGCACTAATAGCTACACACAGTTAAGACAAAGAAATACCGTTTGCTGAGAGTCTGTGGTGACTAGGCCGCAGTATTTATAAGGAATGTCACGCGCAACTTTCTAGTGATCAGGAGCTGCATGGCCTAAAAATATATCATCTTTATTCTTTACAGACTTCTATTAAGTCTGTAAATATTACCTTGACATAATTATTCTTATCAGGAGTTAAATCAGTCTGGGCTGTCTGCGGCCCGGCCCTTCTTCCAATTTAGAGAGTCTCTTTGTTTTTCTTTGAGTTGCCTTTGCTTGATCCATTCAGGGAGGCGCATTTTCTTTAAAAAAAAATGTCTCGTATCTTTTTTTTTTTTCCTAGTAGGTCCTCTCATAATGAACATGAAAAATGTGTCTCCTCCCATTCTTGGTCATCATCTTTATGTGGACAGAATTGGGCTCCATGATCTTGAGAGCGCAGCCCTGCGCAGAGCAGAGGTGCAGATAGCTTCTGTCCACATTCAGATGCTAATCAAGAGAAAACTGCACGTATAGCAGGACAACTTTTTGGATGTGTTTGTGCCTGCACTATATGCTTTGTGAATTGGACATTGAGAGAGAGCTGATAACAGGAAAACGTGTTTTTGCAGATCAATGTAGTGAGGCCGATGGAGGAAGCACCCCTCTCTGTCTATTCTGAACCTCCAAGAAGCTACACTGAAACTCCAATAAGCTACCCTGAACCTCCAAGAAGCTACACTGAAACTCCAGCACGGCTACACTGAAACTCCAAGAAGCTATCGTGAACCTCCGAGGAGGATTACGGCTCCTCCAAGGCAGAAGCAGAGACCTCCTCAGCCTCCGCAGCATCCTCCCCGTCTGCATCAGAGTCTTCCCCCCTCAGACAGGAGGCACAGGGCAGCAGAGCAACACCAACTGCTGGACAGGGGTTCCCTAGAAAGGTCAAGCTTTTGGATTTAGCCATATCTGACATTCTAGAGCTTCTTGAAGACCAGTCGCTACTGTGGGTGTAGTTACAACTATTGGATTTGAACATCATGCCTCAACCCTTACTGAAAAAAGGATGAACTCAGAACTGGAGATGTTTTTTTTTTTTTAGCAGTGTAGTGAATGAATACTTGATGTATACATTTTTGGAGGTTAAGTGTATTTGAAGAGAGTGCAGGATCCCAGTTATGTGAGTAGGTCTGTTCTATTTTATTACTTTGGAGGGTCATGTTATTCCTATCATGATAAGACGGATGAGGCAAATCCTCCAAAGTGAGGACATGATGCAACTCCTTGTTTGCACAAGGGTTTAGATAATTCAGAGTACAACTAATAGTAATAAAATTTAGCATTTTATTTCTACATGTTTGCCAGCAGTTCGATGGGACCATTCTGAAGTTTGTGTGCTAACTACAAAACTGGGATGTGCTTGAGCAGCGAGTGACTTAAGATCATTTTCACCCTTCACTCTTTTGTGAAGGTTACATTATCCTTCCTACACTGTTAATTTAATACACACGTAGAAATGTGTGAATGCGGATTTGTGTGTATGATGTCTCACTCCAGGGAGTCTGAAAGAAGGGTTTCAGCATGTAGGTTCGCATTTAACCGAAACTCATCATTATAACATTTCTGGTTTTGTATGTTTTCTTTGTGTGTTGTTTTTGCTTCTAGGTGCAGACTGAAACAGGCCGGGCTCCATGTTTAAAGATAAGACATAATTGTCACTTCTAACTCTTGGCAAGAAGGCAAGATACTTTGTCATGTTGAACCTTTACTTTCAATGTTTATTTATGACACAAATGTGAAAATAAGGGAATAAATAAAGCTCCTCGAATATAAATTGATAGTTTACATAATATTTGTGTGGTTGCTTTCTTTCTGCAGCCAGATCAAGAGAAGGTTTCCTCAGAAACCAGTATTGCAAGCTTTTGTATTTATTTCTTAAATAAAGTTTTTAATCAACGATGATGCAACTTTTGTGTTTCACCTGAACCTTTTAACCAGATTATTTGTTTTCAATACATGTCATGTTAACAGTGGTCAGACAGGTCTACTGGTTACACTTAGATACACATGATGACATCCCGACAGCTTAGCGCAAACACATCCACCCACGTCGTACCAGATGTGTGTCACTGAGGACCCACAGTGCACCTTGACAGAATGCAGCACTTTGACTTGTGCTCCGCTTGCAGACCATACAAGCGCCTTGCCCATGGTAGACAAGTCGCTCCCAAAACAACCAGAAATGAGGAAACGGTGCACACAAGCAGCTTTGAAACACATAGGTGTATTTTGCTTTCAGGTCCAACAGAACAATCATGACATCCTCATGTGAGGTTTTCATGCAACAGAAATATAGGAAGGAAGGAAAGGGAGGTTAGGAGGAAAGAAATAAAAAAAAAAAAAAAAGAGGGTGTAATTCTGCAACACAAGGTACCAGTTCATAAGAGGCAGTGAAAATAGAAAGCAGTTTCAGATAAGGGTAAAGCAGTTGTTGTTCCTTATCCTACCAGCAGAAGGCAGTGACACTAAAGGATTTCCAAAGCAGAGGTGTGGCTGGTTAGGAAGCTCCTGTGCAAAGGTTTGGTACAAGTTAATCCCAGGTCAGTCCTAATGTCAAATGGTTGCAGCCACACCATCAAAACTACCAGGCCCTCATTTGAGAGAGTTCACTTTGCCACAATTTAACACAATTGTGTGGGAGTGAAGTTCTCGGCCCCACATCTATTCGGCTAATATTGTCCAGTTTGAGCAAAGCAAGATGTTTGGCAGGTGGTAAGACAGAAGTAATTCCCTGACTAGATAGAAAAAAGTGTTTTTTTGTCCTGTGGGGCGGAATGGGAAATGAGCAAAGTGTGATGTGCATGTGCAGGGTTTTAATCCCTCACCTTCCTCTGTGTAAGAAGTTGTACCTGTCTACACCTGCTGTATGGAGCTGCTAACACATTCACTGCCTTAGCCTGGACTTAGATTGAGCACTTGAGTGCAACATTTCAAAAGTGTTTTTCTTACATAATAATACATATGGAATAAATACTGAATCCTTTTCACCGAGAAGAGGTAGACTATAAGGCCATTGAAGTTATCAAATTAAAATGATTGGTTTGCCAAATATCAGTGGCTGAAAAACTCTTCAGACCATTTAGTATCAAAATAATTCTGAAAAATATCTCGATTTAACTAAGTATGAATCCAAATGTATTCGATGAATTAAAGAACCCTGACAGCTGGATTAATATGTTATTATTATGATTCTATATTATTGGGTCATTATCCAATAATGTGTTCAGTGAAAGTTAATTGAAATACAACATTGGGCGTTTTTAACATTGCAGTGCAACATTATAACTTGTCCAGTTATTTGGTACTTATGGGTTAAAATCTCAGTTTGAAAAATAATCTGTGGTGCTGGTTTTGCTCAGTCAGTGTAAGAGACACTACATATACAGAGGCAAAGGCCTTCGACACACTGGTCCTCTGGTTCGACTCCTGACCTGCGCTCATTTGGTGCACGACATCCCCGCTATCTCTGTCCCACATTTCCTGTCTCTCTCCTGCTGTTCTATCCAGCAAAGGCAAAAATGTAACATGACATATGTTTGAGTCCTCACAATCAGAATTTGTGTAACCTCCTAAACACAAGACTGCAAGAGTGATCTGACAATAGAGGCCTTAAATTGTTAATATATGATAGTGTGTATGTTTATGCATGCATGCACAGTATGTCAGATGGGGTTAATGTTCTGTGAAGTGGTCTGAAGTCTGGCATTTCCTGAAAAAAACGGAGAAACTTTGATGCGGTGTCTTAAATAGTTTCACTTTCTTTGTGCTCTAAAAGGATCAGAAGTGTTGTGGATGTCTTTTGAATGCTTGTGAAATTACTGCCAATGATCTTGGTCACTGCACACTTCATGTTTGGATATCCTGAAACTCTTGTTAAAACATCTGAACCTGCTCTGATCACCTGAAACATGTCCCTTCATCTAACTGCTCTGCAGACTTATCCGGGAGGTTATAAAAGCATTCAGCTAGAGCAGGGGTTCTCAAACTTTTTTAGGACCACTTTCAAGAGAGACATTTTTCCAAGGACCCCCCTCATTATTGTATCGTTGATAAGCTATTAATACTATGTAATAATGTACTATATAGTACTTTGCAACGATAGAATTAGGCTACATTTATACTTTCCAAGTAATTCATTTGATAAACTTTGAGAAAATGTTGGCTCCGATGTGTTTGTTGTTTTGAGTTTTATTGTGACAGACATGTCACGATCATATCAGAATCGATCTAATGGCACAAAACTAAAGTGGGCGGGAGTATTGGACAAAATAGCTGATTTTATTGGTGCAAGAGGTCCCAGTTTGTAGATATGCTTTTTCAATGCTATGAATGAACGAATGGTCATTTACAATTGTTTGTAAATTATTCCGCGGACCCCCAAGCTATGGTTCGCGGACCCCTGGGGGGTCCTGGGGCGCCACTTTGAGAATCACTGAGCTAGAGAGTGATGAACGAGCCCTTACAAAGTTCTCTGTCAGTCAGAGGAAAACGGTTATGGTGTTTATATGTGTGTGTGTGTGTGTGTGTGTGTAAAGGGGGGGGGGGGCAAGACAAATAATTGATTTCTTTTTGGTACAGTCTTGAGGAGGCTGCAAAACTACAAAAAAGATACTGCTGTATGTTTTCTGTTTTTTGTGGGTGTTGTCATATTTTGGTTCATAGGATCATGCAGTATAGTGACGGCTAACGACTATCTTAAGTTTACTGCTCAATGTCAAAGAATTACAAATTAAGAAACAACACGACATAATAATACTGTAAAAGTTAGCTTCAAGCAAACAGTGCATATGAACATGCACATACACTCGTCCTTACCAAATGCACAACCATACTTAATAAACACATAGCTGCTCAAACGATATGTTCTTCGGGTGTCCTTCATCATACGCATTACGGTTTCCCTTCATTCCACAATAAGCCACAAATCCCCAAGACAATATTCTCATGACAATTTTCTTACTCTGTGTAACTGTAAACTGGAACATGGTAATTTTGCTTTACAACATGTAAAAGTAAGAGGACAATAATAAGAAAACAAATTAATAAATAAAACGGCATGACGGAGGAAAAAAAATATGTACAACATGAAGCAACATTCTAATTCAAAAATCAACAAAAGATGCCAGTATATCAATAAAAAACAAATGGGATCTTAGGCCTTCTTTTTCTCAGCGAAAGATCATATAGCAGTAAAATCCCAATAATATCCCTCCCCCACCCATCTCTGCCCCGCTCTTCTGTTTAGATCAGACCTGGAAGCTACGCTACATAATACTGCCTTTCAATGCCAAAGAGAGTGCACCATACATGAAGAAACATGTACTTCATCTTATGATATACATAGACGTACAGTATATACATGATATACATGTGTTGGAGGGCAAACGGAGCAATCCCCACCCTGCAAAGAAAAAAAACATTCCCTGGGAATCCAATGTTCTAGAGGAAGTGAGAGATATTCAGGAACATAAGTAGACTCCACTATCGACAGATCTTTTGACCTATGCATGTCCCTTCAATCCTTCCCACATATAAAGATAAAAAGTAAAATGATAGTGATGACTAATTCTCAGCCTCCTTAATATTTCGTCATTCGTTATTTCATAAAATAACAACAGAACAGTTGATATGAGAGACGAGAAGCAGCATGCATTGATTTGAGTGACCGTTTCAATAGCAACAGAGAGGGTGAGGAGGAAAGGGTTGTCACAGGGTTGGGATGTGGAGGGGCGTTCAGAACTGGGAAGCTGAGCTTGGGTCGCACTGAAGTAGCCGGACGATGGAGGGGTCGCTTTTGGCACCTTTGATGAATTCCTCCAGGGACAGTTTACCTGTATGGACGACAGAGAAAAAGAATAATAATTTAAAAAAAAAACATTATTAACATTATTATAGTATGACCCTGGGAGAGAGCTCTATAGCATTTGCTAATTTAATGTTGGATTACATAAATTCAACAATGCAGAGTCATAAATAAATTGGTAATGGTAAATGGACTTAAGCGTTGTCTAGCACTTTTCTAGTCTCCTGACTACTCAAAGCACTTTAACACCGCATGTGACACCTACACATTCATACCACATTCACACACTGATGGTAGAATTGCAACGTAAAGTGACCTTCAAAAGTAACTAATCCCATACATACACATACACCGCCGACGAAGCAATTTGGGGTTAAGTGTCTTACCCAAGGACACATCGGACATGTTGCTGCAGGAGCTGGGGATCGAACCAGTGTTCAGTGGAGAAAGTGGCCATGCAAGCTTACTGCATAGGGAAGGGAAATGCAACTCCCAGCAACTAGAAATTTCCCATAAGCACTAGCCATGATTTCAACATGAAAGACCTAATTTCAACTGGCTGAAATATGTCTAAACGACAAAGTGTCTCAAAACAAAGTTCTCTCTTTTCATTTTGACACTTTGTTTATGTTAGAGTTGTAAGGAAGAGGGGAATTCATTTCTCAAACAGCCTTTTAGCATCGGTGGGTTAAATCCAGTCCATACAAAGATGTCATTCCAAACCCATTTTATTTTTTATTAAAAAATGATTTGTGCAGTGAGCAAGAAGGTCATGGGACATAATAATCAAAACAGTCTATCTGAAGAAGATCCCAGTGAGAGCCTTTGGTTATCATTGAAAAACCCTCAACACTGGTTGAAAAGTCAACAACTATTTGAAGAAGTAGATTCAACGTTCGTGTTGGGACCAGATTTCTGCTGCAACATGAAGGTGTCAGAAAACACTAAGTGTTTATAAATTTGATTATTTGTTCATTTAAAAAAACTCATTTTGTAGCTGTGGGTGAAATCAACACATTTTAAATTAAAATGATAACCATGGTGCTTTGTGAGCTGTGTGATGTTAATAAGAGGTTTCAAAGACACATGTGCAGGTACTTTGGCTATTTAGCTCTGAGTAGTGCTCACATATTTGATTTATTCCTGACAGGCTCAAAGAGCCATAACTTTCAGAGACATATCGGTGGTTGATGGGTGTCAGCGGTGGCCTTGTGTGAAAGAGGTTGTAGGATCTAATCCATTTCAGAGTATAAAATAGGTTGTTAGTGACTGTGATGCACTGCTCTGCTATGAAACCATTTTAGCTGAAATATACGAGATAGCACATGTAAATTGCTGTTAATATGTGACAAATCTTTTGATTGAGAAATATTTACCGGAGAAATCGGGTCCAAAAGCTGTTAGTGAAATTAAGTTTTTCAAAAAAAAGTTTACAAAACATTCTCTTTTTGGCCCATTTTAAAAGTTTTCTCAGCGGGAAATTGCTTGCAGGGTTGTTTTTGACAATTTGTGGCATCTTTAACAGCATGCTAAAATAAAGGTTATTTACATGATAATAGTTACATTGTTTACTATCTAAAAATAAATGGGAGTTAAAGGGCCCTGACCAGGGCAAAAAGTGGCAGTCCCTCTTTGACAGTTGTAATCCAAGTTCCTCTGTTTTTTTCTTTCTTTTTTTTGGTGGGCCAGCCACAGCTTTATCAAAGCAACATTATAGAGAGTGGTATGAACATTAGACTGCAGTCATTCACAATGACCAAACCATCAAACTTTAGGTACCTCATATATATTTCACTCATTGTCTACGGTCATTGGCAGAATAGTTAGTGCACTAACAACTCCCAGAAATGGATGTAGGTCACTTGGAATTATGAATCTTGTGATAGTTCCTTCAGACCTGAGAGTTATGACAATTTGTTTTATAAAAATAATCTCAGAGGCAGAGATCTTTTTATTATATTACATCTCTGTAAATTAAGGTATTTCAGTTATTATCTTGTATTTGACCAGTTCTTGTTGAAAAGTGTACTTTTTTTGATTGATTTGTTTAGTACGGATTCACACAGACTGAGTTAAAGTGAACTCTTTACATATTGAATGTTTGATTGCTGAGAGAAGGACTGACAGACAATAAAAAAAAAATCTGGTCTTCATGGAAGGTTTAACAATTTAGAAGTGTGCTTGGAGAATGCATTGTAATCCCACAAGGGATAGGCCAAATGTTTGGCACAGCACATCAAAAAATGTGTTCCAAAATTCTCTCAACTATCCCTCGTTTCCAGTCAAATGAGAACATTTCAGAGATTCTTCAATAAAATCTCATTATCATCCTCAATTCCTCTCCTCTCCTCTCCTCTCCTCTCCTCTCCCTCTCTACATCTGTACCCTCCTTCATGTTGCTATTTCCTCCTCTCACCATCATTATTGAGGTCCATTTGTCTGAAGATTTTATCTGTCCTCTTCTCCGGCGTGGATTCATCCTCTGGCATCTTCATCACAGATGACACCATCTTGTAGATGGCCTGATAAACAGAGAGGAGAAAGAGAAGAGAGACAGGGAATGGGATGGATGGGGGAGGAGGGAGAAAAGAGTTGAAGTGAATTGAAGCCAGCAGGGACCCATTTTGGAGACTCAGATGAAAGGACTAAAACACAACAGAGTTGAAAATACAGTCACTATGGCTTTCAAGATGGTGACAAACACACTTTCTTAAGTCCACATGATTCACTTGTGTTAGTCTCGATGCTAAAAGCCTCCCACTGGGCAGCCTTTGCAAAATAATTAACAGGACTGTATGACTGAATGGTAGAAAAGCATCATACCACTGTAATACAGACCACATGTTGTCAGGGAGCCTCACACAGAGACTTTACTGTATTGATTTGATAAGTCTTACTTCTTATGTGCTTTATTCACCTACAGGAGTGAACATAAAGAAGCTTCAAGTATTGACAGTCAGCTTATTTCTACAAAACATCTTTTATCATTGGAAGCAAAAATCCATTAATAACACCTGGCACTACCGTGTGTGTTGATCTGCTCATGTATGGAGAGCATTAGTGGGAGAGGAGGGGCATCTGTGATTTTTCGAGTAAACTGTGAACTACACTTTAGGAACAATAATGTTGTCTTTACAGTTGGCTGAATTTCCATTTACTATAAACCAGTCATGGTTGCACCAGTCCAGGCCCTGTTTGGCATACTGTATCCTCCTATTGGAACATTTTTAAATAAAAGCTTTTTCCTTGAATAGTATTTTATATCTTATTTAAAAGATTAATTGTACAATGGAGATATTCCTTTTTTTCATGTTGCCAGTTAATAATAATAATAATACATTCTTTAAAAGCACTCAAGGTCACCTTACAAAGCAGGGATAAAAACAACAAAGTAAAATTAACATTAAAATGACACATTTTCAAGATGTAGGAAATCATGGAGGATTCATGAGACCGGATGGAGAATGATCAGACTGAATATGCCAGTTCAAAAAGATGTTTTAAAAAACAATTATTATTTAAGTCCATAACACCTTTTCCTCTTCATATATATCATACCACTGTCTATCATGGCGAGATAAAGTCATAACATTTTATAAAAATGTACAAGGAGGGATTTTTCGGTATTTCTGTGAATATATCTAATGCATAGAAGTAGTAGGGTGCAGATTGGTTTGTTGCATGATGATGTAAACAAAGCTGACCTTTTGTATCGTGACAGTCTCCCTTTTACTCGCTATTTCTATACAACGTTATAATTGGCCCCTCCTCTCTCATGTGTAACCTGAATGAGCTTGAGTATAATCTCAGTATTCTGCACACTCAGGGATATGGTCTGGTTAAATTTAACTCACTAATCCTTGAGAACCCAGTAGCATATACACAAAGAACTTATAGCCACATCCTCATATCTCCACATATGAGCGTCTCTTACTTCTTCTCTTAAGGAATGACAGGATTACTTACAGTCCAAATGTAGTGCTGTCTTTACAGTCTTCATGAAAACTGTACCAATATTACCATCAGCACATTTAGTATGCCTGCTTATCATCGAATTGCAGAGCTTATGCATCCTTGCACATAGAGAGACTTATTAGCATATTCAAAGTGAACCAGTGGCTTATAAGCCCTCTCTAAGTATATTCCTGGCAATAAAATACATGACTGTTTGGCCCTTAAACCTTTGAACCTGGTGAGTCTACATTAGTTTTTTAGGCATTTCAGTTGATCAACTCTACTTAAACTTAAAGTTTGTTAAGTAAGGGTTTCTTTTACGGGTCGAGTGTTACCTCAGGTATGTTTAATGTTCCGTATGTGCTTCTCAGATACGGGATCCTGTTGTTTGATATTTACTCCTTACCCAATAGAAACGGCTGACTCTACCAACTGAGCCTCAGCCGCCTCAAATAAGGTGGAGAATGGAATACAATTAAAATGTAGAAGTTACAAATAACTCCCAATGGTGTAATGAAGTGAGCCTACCTGGGAAGCAATGCTTCTCAAGTTGTTTATTTATGATATGATTTGAGATTAATTAATCAAAAAGTGCAGTGTTCAATGAATTGTATCGCTTACTGCGATAATATGCTGCTGTGGGAGCAGCTAAATGTGGGCAGCACTTGAATCCAAGACACATTTTCCCAATGGTAAAAATAAAGTGAAGCTTTTGGTTATTACATTGTATCATGTCGTGCTGTGTCATGTGTTGTGTCCTATCGTCTGGTATGGTATAGCATGGTATGGCTTAGTACTCTATGGTATGGTATGGTATGGTATTTATTTTCATTACACATTTTGTTATAAATATCTTAATTTGGAAATATTCAATTGTGTTAATAATAGTTATGTGACTAAAGGGTGGTCACCAGCATATTTCATAATTTACATTTGGCCACAGTATCCTACATTTGGGAAATGCTGGCCTTAAATATTAATCTTAATACGTTGTGTTAATGTTTGATAATTATGTTGTGCGCACAATATATTTATAATATGCACACAAGATATTAACTTGTGCGCACAAGATAATTATAATTATCTCAAAAGTTCATTTCAGTTCAGCCTTATGGAGACAACTCAACATAACTGAAATGTTATAACAACATATACCTTTGAATATGATAAAAAAGAAGTTGCTGCTTTAACACACTGCAGGTTTACAAAACGTAGCGTTTTAACAGTTATTTTTAAACATTATGTATTATTATTTGTATTATGTATTATTTTATACATTATGTAGTGTTATTTGAACATTAGTATGTGTTCATGTTAATAAAGTAAGTTACAGTACAATTCTATAACTAGAAAACAGGTTCTTTGAAAAGTATTTGACTGAAGTGCTTAGGCAAACCTTATTGACACTTGTATCAATATGTAGTTTACGTACATATTTATCTTGTGCACACAAGATATATATATATATATTTTACTTTTGGGACTTCAGGGGCTCCGTAGTATACACATGTAATGAGGAGTACAAATCCATGTTAACCCATAAAAGCCTCAGAAATGAGTTATTTAGAAGTCTGGACTTGGAGACATAGCATTTCTAATGGGTTTATCAAAGATATATATTATTGTTGTATTTATGGGAATTTGATTTATTTGTTTAAAGGCATCACTTTTACCCTTGCACTTAATTCCATTACCCAGCATCCTTTGCCTACCTGTACAATCTCCAGCATCTCGTCACGGCTGATGTACCCATTTCCATCCAGGTCGTACATGCTGAAGGCCCATTTCAGTTTCTGCTCCAGTTTGCCCCGTGATGTCACACTCAAGGCGATGATGAACTCCCGGAAGTCTATTGTCCCGTCGCCATTGGTGTCAAATGTGCGGAAGACGTGCTCAGCAAATTTAGAGGCATCACCGTAAGGGAAGAAATTGGCATAGATTTTCTTGAACTCCTCCACATTTAGGGTTCCACTTGGGCAATCCTTTAAGAATCCCTAAAGAAAACCAGATCGAAAGGGTGACAATGGGGAAAATCAATTCCTCTAAGGGAGCAATATGGAAATCTGACACCTAGTGTTTAAAATGGAGTACTGCAGTCCAAATTCAAAACTTTGGAGAGAACACTTCAACATAGCATGGTTCCCTTAATGTCAGATGATATACAGGTCATTTTACGATTTAATTCAGTTAATATCTTACATATTAGATCTTTGAAGCTCTTTCTTTCAGTTTCTGGACATAAAAATACACTTTTAGGATGCAAGTTTTACACCAGTAGGCCAAAAAATATATATTTTTAAAGTCAGCTTAAATTTTGACCAGTAACTGTTCTTTCAGGCTATGTTTCATACTCAATTGACAAAAGGAGATTTTTTTGATAAGAAGCTTAATCTTGGATAGTTGACCTAGCTTCTTTTCAAGGTGTCAAATTTGATAAAGCAGTATTGTGCCTGAAAAGAAAAGGGAAGAAAAAATCATGTCAGTCTAGGCTTTTTCTTTTTTTAAAGATGCCTGTAGGGCAGGCTAGAGGCAGCAAGTTGACAAAGTCAACATTGAAGGGAGGAGGAACTTTAAGAGCATCACATCGGTTATTGGCATAAGTGGAGGTAAAATGTCAGCATGAGGGTAAAATGTCAGCTTGATTCAGTCTCTAATGAAACTTGTTTTTTATTGCAAGTGACTTTCATTTTGAGAGAGAGAGAGAGAGAGAGTCACACGTTTAAGTGAGGCTTGAATGTATTGCCAATATATTCTTCAAAAAGAATATATGGCATAAGTTGTCAAAAACTTCAGGTACCATAATGCCACATGTAATATGTTTTGCAGCGTATATGACTCTCAGTTTATCTGCAGAGAGGTGGCACCATCATGACCACTGTCAGCTTTCCCCTCGATATGCTGCTATGTGTCTAGACGTACTCATTTCCCAGAAATAAGGAAACCTTGACCTTGACATTGATGAGAACTGGGGTCAGACGTGTCTTACTGGTCAGGAAAGTCATAGCGTAACTTGTTCAGCTCTTACTTAGGGTGGGTCAAACAGCTGTTCAATAAGTCTAACCCCAGCATTAAGCCATATAGCCACTACACAAACACACACCCATGTGCACAAGATTAGATAAGTCATGTGTTGAGGTCTTAACCCGCTCCCAGACTTAACAGATGGGAGATGCTCTGCTACGTGGACAAACACTGTCACATTGAAGGCTGCTGTCAGTGTCTCTGATACTGTTGTTGAATCATGAGCGTATAAACAGGTATCCTGACCAATTTATGACACCTTTACAGTAATAGATGTGATGGTTCAGGTGAGCCCTGAGCTTTCACCTGGACAAGCTGCTATGTGTCTGAGCGTCCTTATTTCCCAGGATGCACTGAGTTCTTCTGTGCTCCTATCCCTCTCCTCAGCCACCTACTGCCCCCATATTCCCTCCTGCTGCCATACCTATTATTATTAGCCAGAGCTTGCATTGTGCTGATTTAATGACTATGACTTCCCTAGCCAATACCGCCAAGTGCTTGCTCATGGTTTAATTGTTGGGTCTCTTTAAATAACACTAAATGGTATATGAGTTGCTTTATGTGAAAAATAATTCTTGGTAATGAAATAGACTTAAATATTTTCCAATCAAAATTGTTTTTCATTGTTATTTTCAATTGTTTTAACATTTTCCTTCTCTCATTCCCCAATTCCAAGTCTTCATCAAGCCATGATGTGTTTCATTTTGTAAATCAAGGTACTATTAATCTTATTAAAAGTAGTGCAAGATCACCGAGGTCAACTTTGGCTTCAAAATAAATGATTGTGAGGGCTAAAATGCTTAGTTCTAGGCTGGAAAACCAAATAAACATCATGGTGGTTATGTCTGCTCCTCATTTTTGGCATATGGTGGAACATTGGAAATAGTTGTATGTTTATTTTTCCAAAACTTAATTTCAAATCTAAGTCTACTTTGTGATAAATGAATATTTCCTTTTCTTCTTTATAACAGTAACATGTTTATTTTGCTAAACATCTCTAAACTCAGTTGACTTGTGTAGAACCAAAATTGTATTTCTCTTAGTTCCCTGTCTGTGAATGATCCCTGTCAACCAGACGGAAAGTTTAGAAGTATTTTATTTAACTTTAAGTTGCAAAATTAGAAAAAAAGCAAAGTACTTTTAAGTCATTCGTCCAAAATTATATCAAATGTTTTCGCAAAAAGTGAAACAATGACTTTTAAAAAATTAAAAAATGTGTCATGTGAACGTTGCAGTTTCTCTGAGCACTACACACCTTTGTTCTGTTTGAGCATTATCCTTTACTGTCATGGGTGTTTATATCTACAGCAGCACTTCTATAATCTTTAAAAATAACTCGAAACACACTTTCCCTTTCTTACTGTGAGAAACTTATAAATACTTACAAATACTGTTTGTAGCTCTTAGCTCAAAGTAGGGCACAAACAACCAGAAGTGAAATGTTATACAGTGATCGTCAGACACAAAGTAACAACAGCTAGTCAAACCTATGACTGAATGTAGCAGTAACATCTGCCACCTTCAACAAACAACCGTAACAGTGACAGTGTTACAGTAGGACAGACGTTTGCCTGAGAAAGTGGACCAATGGACAAATTGTCACGACATCTTCCATCTTGTCTTTGCTGGATTTGTATGTGGTGTTACTAAAGTCTGTTTATGTTACTTTAGATTGGTGGTTTGTGGTTTTAATGCTAATTGTATAAAGTAATTGTAGGTATTTATTTTCTATAAATGGTGAATGGACTGTATTTAAACTGCTTTTCTAATTTTCTGACAACTCAAAGCGCTTTAACACAACATGTCACATTCACACACGCTGATGGCAGAGCGTGCTATACTAATATCCTGCTTAGCTACACTGAGACAACAGCTGCCCTGAAAAGCTCCCCAGTTGATAGTTAAAGAGTCACCAGCAATGTGGAAAATTCCTTTTTGTGTATGTGTGAGTGCGTGTGTGTGTGTGTCTGTGTCTGTGTGTGTGGATCACTTAGTTGCATTAGAGACTCAGGAGTTGCCCAAGAGAGGGCTAGAAAATTCAGTTTATGTACTGTAAGTGTTTCACAGTGTACAGTAGTTCTTTATATTTTAAAGGTAGACAGCAGAATGAGATAGAATGCACTTTCACTTTATTAAATTAATATCAATGTGTTCAACTTTATATATTAGTGATACACATATATTTGTGATGCCTTTTTAAACCAAGGTTACAATTATCTAGAGCACCTTCGAAGTGTAAAAAGTCAAAAAAATATCCTGTTCTGTAGAGCTTTGGAAGGATAAAGTGACATTTAATGGATGTTAATTTACAGGTACAGGTATTGGAGGTAAGTCATTCATTTGTCATTTGTTTAGTTTCTTGCCACTCTTTGTAGCAGCAGTACGACAGCTGCTCTGTTGGTACCACCTGAAAGTGTGCAGACTGTGTTCGCTGTGTGTCTGTGTGTACCTTGTACCACTCCTGCAGCTCGTGGTCAGAGAACTCCGTGTTTTCTCGGAGGTCCTGCAGCATCTCTGGCCGCAGCTTGCTGTTCTGTTTCCCCATGGCAACAGGACAGGACTCTTGGTTTCCTTGACAACAATAGTGACTATAGCACTAGCCAGACCCGTTTTTTTTCCCCCACACCTGTCAGTCAAAGATCAAGAAACAGGAGGTCAGCAACAATTAAGTGGACAGGAGGATAACCTTCAGTGACAAATGAGAAGTGAAAAACAATTGGTCAGCAAACATCATCCCGTCACTGTTGTCACTTGGCCACAGATGAAAAATGTTATACATTTGAAAGGGAGAGATTCCTTAAACGAGAATAAATGTGGGTAACTGTTGGCTACAGTTAAAAGTAACCAATTCCAATAAAGTTAGAAAGCATTTTTCATCGAATACTTTTTGAATTTCAAAACACAAAAAAAGAGTTTGTGCAAATGAAATCATGAAAACGATGGGAAAATAACACAAGCAAGTTAGCTATAAAACAGTGAAAATGACATAACTGTGTCCACTCCCACTATGGCATTTGGATTTTTTTCTATGAAACCAGAGCGAGCTGTGTCACCGTGTTATAACCCAATCCCCTTGACACGAATGTTGTGCAACAACACAAGTCTTTAAACTGCTGCATCACATTCGCAAAACATTAAATAATCCCAAATGTACCCCAGTGACGTCAAGCACTGGCCAACTGATCACATTTCTGGGTTTATCTGGCCAGCTGTGTGTTTGTGTGTCAAATCAGCTGTGCGGTGTGTGTGTGTGTGTGTGTGTGTGTGTGTGTGTGTGTGTGTGTGTGTGTGTGTGTCCAGATCTCCTAATCTTCATCTCAGCTCAATGTGCCCTACAAAACATGATGTCAGTGGTGCAACTACGTAATGCAGTCTGTCACTATGTAACCAAATCCCTACATTTTTTCCCCCTTAAAATACAATTTATTTACCCATTAATGACATTATCAATAGAGTGGTTTAAATTGGAATTACATGGTGTTACTAGGATGTATTTACATATTTTAAGTAATTTGTGGAATAATGAAAGCATAGGCAAAAAGTACATCATTGAAAACCATTCCTTCATTCGTTTAAAATTCCGTCTGGAGTAGATCAGCCATTATGATCTTTTGTACATTCTTGGGTTTTAAACCCTTTTGCTACGATAATTCTAATTTTACAATTACCACCATAATGTTCAGCAGTAACATGGCTATAGATACTGTAAAAAATACTTGATAAATAGCTGGAACACTTCAAGAAGTCAGCAAAGTGTGAAGGAAATATTAATTACGCAGAAATGATCACACATTTAGTCCAGTAATAGTTATTATTAGCCACCGTATGCTGTTGTTCATAACCGTGCGACAACCTTCAGTGCTGAAAAATAAAGCCATCCATGAGTTCAAAAAATTGCAATTCTTCAAGTGTCACTTGAGGCTGTCTCCAAAAGACGGAGAAGCTCCATTAAAACCAAATGGCAACCTCTATTTTTTTCAATGAACTTAAAAACCTGCTTCAGCTCGTAAGTAACCAATGGGTGATGTCACGCAAGCTTCGTTCATTATATAACTAAAATGGTTTTGGCCCTAAAAGCTCCTACATTTATGTGTTCACAATGCACATGGGCTGATGTTTTTTTTATTTTTTATTTTTTATCTCATATTGTTATCATATTAAGGCCAAGAGTTTAGCAAGAACTTGCAAAAAACTCTTTGCCTGTTACTTGAATGATTATAAGTTGGGTGGAGATAGCCTTTCCAACATGTCGACCACCAACGTCTCCTTCAAAACAACTCTTCAGAAACCAATGTGTGACATCCCTTGAGACAACATACAAGTTTTGTATAGTCTATGGTCGTAACTGACCAAATGCGGCTGTAACTGCAAAAGCTCTATTTGTAAATATCTGTATTTGTACCCACATATCTCTAACTGAGTTAATATAATACTAGAAAAATACATAATAAATCAAAACGATTCACTGCCCCACTTTTGAGATTTTCCACAATTTTTGTGGGGTAATTGTATTTCCCAAAAATATCAATAATTTTACATGAAAATCTTCAACATCTGTAATCAGGTAATACGGTGTTGGTTTCTTTTTTAAGCTTGAATTAAGGACTTAACCCTGCAATACAATATAAGATAAGGGATTCACGTGTCCTAACGCATAATGCAAAATATTTAGCTTCAAAATTACAATCCATTTAATAAATACTTATGATGTAAATCAATGAAACTGTTATAGAATGTAAAAGTGTTCAATACAAAAGGCAACTTACTGGTGCATGTTAACTTTGCTACCTTTTAAGTGGACAGCTAATGAGCTTGCGTTGAATCATCAGAGTATTCTTCTCTCTTAGAGTATATGTTTGTGTGCATGGTGATTTAAATAACGGTCTGTGGCTTGAACATCTCCGATGAGACTTGGCTCACCTCACTGACCCCAAATCTTTCCTTAGTCAAGAGCACAGGCCTGTTTGAACTGTTTGCATGAGCTTCAGAAAGTCAAAGAGTATGTTTGAAGAGGTGGACGGTGTGGGTGTGAAGATCTTTATAGCTGCCTGACGAGAGCTTCAAATACACAGAAACAAAACCCTATATAACCCCCATATAATTAGACTCAAATTAAGTCCCTTATCCTGAAGGCGTTAGACTTAATACTTGTACACTAACAGTAATGCTTGAGATTTATACCCAGGCTACTGAAGAGAGAACTGCAACCATCAATTATGGCCTCCTCCTTTCTGTCTGGTAACTTCTGTTAGTGCAAAATGAGGAAACAATCATTTATCTTGTCATATGGCACAAAAATGCAGTTTGTGTCCACACCGTGTCTTGGTATGATTTGCTGGACGGTATTTCCAAAAATCGTTGTGAGCTCTGGGGCGGCCGTAGCTCTGTTGGCAGAGGCGGTCCTCTTTCAACCTGACTTGTCTGACGTGTCCTTGGGCAAGACACTTAACCCCAAGTTGCTCCTGCTGCTTCATCGGCTGTGTATGAATGCCTATGAATGGGATAAGTTACTTCTGATGGTCACTTTACAGAGCAGCCTCTGCCATCATTGTGTAAATGTGTGTATATGTGTAGGTAAGACCTGCGGTGTAAAATCACTTAGAAGACCAGAAAAGCGCTATACAAGCTCAAGCCCATTTACCATTTAATATATAACATTTAAAAAAAAATCTGAAAATGCCACATATCAATACAAATAGATTTCTTATAACAAAACGACTTCCCTTCTAGAGTCTATATATCAATTTCAATATGCACCTCAAGTTTCACCATTAATGTAGAAGGTATGTCAACTTTGTCTGGATATTATTATTTTTCAATAGCACAAAGCAAACATGCACATAGCTCTGCACACAACCTGAGTACAAATACAAAGAGTGCAATGAGGAGTTATTGAGTGGCATGTGCAGCGCGTAAAGCTATTTGAAACCAGCTGGTCTCGCTATAAACCAGTAATGAATGTGTTAGTTGAGAAGGTGAAGATAGGACTAAGTGCACCATTGTACCACAGATAAGTGTTTAGAAAACAAACGCCCATCACACATGGAGTGACGCAGACGCTTTTTAGCACAAGTGAAATTATTAAGGCGCCCACGCAGGCAAATTGTCTGTTGGAACACTTACAAACAAAACACAGAGTCTGCACCTCTTTGTGTGTGTGTGTGTGTGTGTGTGTGTGTGTGTGTGTGTGTGTGTGTGTGTGTGTGTGTGAGGACATGTGAGTGGGTGTGTTTGAATAAAAGCTTAGAAGAAAAAATGGGATTTAATTGGAGAGACAAAGAGTCTCTAATTAAAGGAACTAATGCTTCTCGATGACAAACAGAGCAAACCATCACCTTAATTGGCTTGCAGAAAAAGTAAACAAAGAACAGCAAGAATCCTCAAACAAACACAATGTTGGACTAATGACATATTCTGCATATAATTGTAACCACAGGAGAATATTTTGAACAAACTGCCTGTGCTAAATGCTGGAGAGTTAGGATTGTTTCCACTCAGAGAATGGGGCACACCAGTTAATTAAAATTGTAGGTGAAAGACGCAGCTATATATAAGAGAAAAAAAGACATTCATGCAAATAAACAATGAAGCAGCTAATTGGTGGTGACAGCAAAAATGTATTCATTCTACGATAAGAACAAATTAAGCTGAACGCACACATTTGATAATCTGCAAAAACGTGTAAGATTGGGATGAAATAAATTGTGCGCTGCAGTCCAAACTGAAAAATAAAGTGTTTTGAGCCGGTCTTTAAGTTGAACACAATGTAAATAAAAAATCATGTGTACCGGTTTATCAAGAATAGACTGAAAAGACGTAAAGCTAGCTGTCCTCTAACTCGATCTTGAAGGAGACATTCTTTTTTTTGTTGATTTTGTTATTTTGGGGCTTTTTATGCCTTCATTTTAATGATAGGACAATGAATAGACTCTGGAGAACTGGGGGGAGAGAGAGAGAGAGAGAGAGAGAGAGAGAGAGAGAGAGAGAGAGAGAGAGAGAGAGAGAGAGACACAGAGAGAGAGAGTGGGGAACAACATTCGAGAAAGGGGCCACAGGTCGGATTCAAACCAGGGTTGCCCGCTCTTGAGGGCCTGTAGCCCACTTATATGGCACATCACTAAGCAATCATCCCCCCCCCCCCCCCCCCGATCCTCTAAGTTATTTCAAGAGAGTTATATAAAAACGTACCTCTCCATAGCTGTCATGAAATGAGAAAAAAAATAGAAATGTATTTTTACCAGTCTTTAACAGTGGTTTTTTTTTCTGCTGTAACTTGGGGAATTTAAGGAACTTATATGAATGACTTGCTTCTTCAGGCAGCTTCAAGTGAATTTAACTTTACTAGATACAAAATATACATCAGAAAAAAAGATGGCTGTATGGCCCTCCAACATGGCTGTCAGAGGAGGTGTTGAGATCATCAGACAGCTCCCTACAGGTTCGACAAAGCCCTGGGAGACCAAATCACAGGACGCAAGTGTTAAGTGTCAGGCATGCTGCCATTATTCTATTCTCAATAAATGCAAGAAATACTATTCTAAGACCCTGACCTTTTCACTGCACATGCCACTTTCCCTTCACTCCCTCGTGTTTGTTTTTTTCTTAACCCAGATGTGACCAAGATGT